AACTTGCAATGGCGTGAGAGAAGAAGTTACGCTGAACAAGACGAATATAATCCAAATTGCCCAGGACTGCATCATACAAACAAAATCCAACATCCTGACGCCAAGAAGGATTGATTCAATCCCAGTGATAGAATCCTTCACGAAAACCATATCATACAACTTCACAAATTTCAAACTGACAACCAACAACTCCTATCTCATGGAGCCCATTGAATCCGTGATTAAGGATTCCCAGAACTTGGAACATCTTCAGACCATGGAAAACAACATTCAGGAAAAGCTCGACGAGAACCAATGGAGAAAGATTAATCATCATTCCATATCAATCAGTATCCTCACGTCAACAACCCTGATCATCATTATGATAACTTTGACCGCAGGGTACCGGTTCTGTCAAAGATGCCGAAGGAAGTCTGCTGACCATAGAGCTTCAACAACCACCAGATCATCACCTCAGGAGGGTCAACTGATGGAACTAATGCCACTATAATCCAGCATCCAGGAGACCCAAATGATGGAACTGATGCCAAACCAGCAATCGAGAGGGGGCAGACTGTTTAATCGTCAATTAAACAAATTTAATATCTAATACTTTCCAAAATTTTATATTTAATATTTTTTAATTTTTATTATTTTAATTTTTTATATTTAAATAATTTAATATTTCGAAGCGGTGACCGACCCAAAGGTGCTGAGCCTACAAAATCAGTACCAATTAATCGGTCATCGCCGTTAAAACTGCATATTTGCACATTGTTTAAATTATCTAGTTGCTACGTCACATTAGAATTATGTATAAATAGGAATTAATTTAATAAAACTTTCTCTCTTTTAACCACAACTAGCCTATCATTCACATCTACCTAACTACCCTTAACATTCCCTAAACTCTACAATAGTTTACATTAATAATTACCAGTAATTCGTTTGAATAATAAAAAAATTGTAAAAAGAATTTGTTCATCATTTTCTTTAGATATTTTTCTCTATTTAAAGAAAGTAAATCATTTAATAATTATTAAAATTAAATATTAACAACGTTGGTAAATTCGTCATATTTGACAGCATAGAAAAAGGTTATGTTCTGTGGGTAACAGATTGTTGTTTTGTGTTTTCGTTTGTGTATTTCTATCGTGTTTAAGTTAATTATGGAGTTTAAATACATTATTTTTACTATAAATGTTGACGTCACTGGAAGAAAACATAAAATTCTATCTCTAAATTGACGCTTAGACTGTGACCGTTTGTTGACCACAAACAAAGCATTGTTATTGAATGGCAATGCGCCGTCCATTTGTTTTGGTGGTCTGTGGTAGTATATAACTCTTAAAAATTGCTAATTAAATTGAACGTATCTTAGGAAAATAACAATTAAGCGCAATAATAAGTAAAAATGTTGAGATGCATATTTTTGGCTTAGGACGGCAGTATCGCTCTAGCGTAAAAATACTGTTTGTTAATTATGAATTATTTAGGATTGCTTGTTTAATGGTAATTTTGTCCTGGCCAAGTTCAAGCTTCTTATGGTTGTTCTAAAACCTAGTTCTGGCATGATGGATTTTTCGCGGTTGGTTAGAACTTGCCAAAAGTCCACACTCAAAAGCCTTGTACAAATTCCTATATCTTATGTTTAAAATCGTCTAAGTAGCCTGGACTAAATTACCAAATTTTGCAATATTATTTCAAACTGAGAAAAAAGCTTTTTATTTTTAAGAAACACATATTATTTTATACATTTCATGTTTTAAAAATATTGTATTTTAAATGACCGCCGTTATTGTCAATTCACATTTAAAGCCTATTACGACAGCTCGTCATTGCTCTGCGCGCCATGTCTTGCGATATTGCGTTGATTTCTTGCCTTATTGCTGCCATTAGATTTTTCAAATTTTGTGGATGATTTTTAAAAACTTGTGATTTTAGATACCCCCACAAAAAAAATCGCAAGGGGTTAAATTAGGCGAACGCGGAGAAAACATCTCTTGAAGAATACGATATGAACTACGTGTGGTTTGAGATGTAGCACCAATGGTGCTGCACCATCTTGCTGGAACCATAAATTTTCTTGATCATAATTGTTTAACAAATATTTCTGACAGATTCATTATGACGACTGAAAATGGCATGCACGTACCTACGTACACCTAAAGCGACCACGCGCACTGCTTATCACCCCACGAGCCAAGTAATGACCCTTTAAAAAAGGGGCAACCCTTTTGCCGCACCCTGTATTATTACCACAATAAATAAATATTATATTCATACTTGTTTTTCTTAAAAAACAGCAGTAAATACAATATATAAAGGCAACCCACGAAGCATTAATATTCAAATATGGCGCCAATATATGTTACAGAAATCTTCTTCAATTTTTGGCATTGCTTAGGTATTGTAGACCTAGATGGCGTCACTTACTTTAGCCTCTTGCCGCTAGAGCTAGTGTAGTTTCCAATAGTGTCTTTCATAGACGATTGTTCCATCCGATAACTGTCATTCCCAAGCGGTACAGAGGACTGTAAAAGTGGTGACAGAAGCATCATCTCAATTGTGTGGACAAAATTTCCGTGATGGTTTTGTATGCCAACTTTTGAAAAACAGTTTAAACTAGCTAAATAAATAACATGTCCTGTGGTTGGGTGGGGGATAGAACAGTCACCTCATCGTGGTTCGTCCTGAGTTGGGTTAAACTAGCGAATAACTAAGTAAGTGTTTTAATTTAATGAAATTATATTTGTATACTTGTCCGTCTTTTTCCAAAATATTTAAAATATTGTGATAGTTGAGGAGGCTGAAGATCCTGGTCATAAACGTGCGATTTTTTTTTTAAGTTGATCATACAATATTTCTAAGGAGTAAATTAAAATGCATTTTTTTCGTTTTTTAAGAAATGCCGATTTTACTTTTTTTTAAATATTTCCTTTGCGGAGGCTCAAGATGTTTTTTGATTAGGCCTAAAATTGGATGACGCATTATTCGCACTTTAAGGATAGCTACTTTTTTAACTTAAAAAAACCGTTTTACGGCCCACCCTTATGTCCACCAAAGCCATACATTTAGCTAATTAGACTTGGTAACCAATTTAACTAGTGTTGCATTTCTAGCATGTTTAAAAAGGTTTATTGCCCGTCGTAGAAAACCTCATTGCATTTTTTTTAACTATGGCACAGCCAGGTGCAAACGCGGAACTTTTTAATTTTCAGAAAAAACATGTATGTACTATTAACAGTTTTATAGCTAATAAAGGTATAAAATGAAAATTTATATCTGCTAGATTTCCCAATTTTAGGGGTCTATGGGAGACAGGTATAAAATGTATTAAGTACCACCTAAAACGAATAATAGGTTCGACCACTCTGTATGTTGACGATTTCTTTACATTTCCCGATAGGAAGCCGATTAAGTGACTATAATCGATTGCAACATTTTTGGCAACGTTGGAGCCGTGAGTATAGTATCTCTTTAATGGAGAACTGCACCCGTAAAGAAACCTTATCCTGGACAGAACATCAGAGACCCTGTTCAAACCGATAGATATTTGTATCAGAATGTATGGTGTTTCTATAGGGTGTATCGGTATGTATAGGACCCATATTGGGATTTATGGTTGTTCTATAGGGATATCCACCCTTGATTTATTTGCTATTGGTTTCAAAGGGAAAATACACATAAATGTAGAAATTAGTTTTCCCCCATAGGACCCCATAGGTTTTAATAAAATTTTCTCAAATGTTTTTTGGTTGTTCTATAGGGATATCCCTATATATCCTTCATTGAGTTATTTGCTATCGGTCTCAATAGGAAAAATGTAAAAGTTATGGTGTTCCTATAAATTTTCTATCGGGCCGTATCCGGAAAAAAAACATGGACAAATGCACAAATCAAATCAAATCAAATCAAATCAAATCAAATCAAATCAAATCAAATCAAATCAAATCAAATCAAATCAAATCAAATCAAATCAAATCAAATCAAATCAAATCAAATCAAATCAAATCAAATCAAATCAAATCAAATCAAATCAAATCAAATCAAATCAAATCAAATCAAATCAAATCAAATCAAATCAAATCAAATCAAATCAAATCAAATCAAATCAAATCAAATCAAATCAAATCAAATCAAATCAAATCAAATCAAATCAAATCAAATCAAATCAAATCAAATCAAATCAAATCAAATCAAATCAAATCAAATCAAATCAAATCAAATCAAATCAAATCAAATCAAATCAAATCAAATCAAATCAAATCAAATCAAATCAAATCAAATCAAATCAAATCAAATCAAATCAAATCAAATCAAATCAAATCAAATCAAATCAAATCAAATCAAATCAAATCAAATCAAATCAAATCAAATCAAATCAAATCAAATCAAATCAAATCAAATCAAATCAAATCAAATCAAATCAAATCAAATCAAATCAAATCAAATCAAATCAAATCAAATCAAATCAAATCAAATCAAATCAAATCAAATCAAATCAAATCAAATCAAATCAAATCAAATCAAATCAAATCAAATCAAATCAAATCAAATCAAATCAAATCAAATCAAATCAAATCAAATCAAATCAAATCAAATCAAATCAAATCAAATCAAATCAAATCAAATCAAATCAAATCAAATCAAATCAAATCAAATCAAATCAAATCAAATCAAATCAAATCAAATCAAATCAAATCAAATCAAATCAAATCAAATCAAATCAAATCAAATCAAATCAAATCAAATCAAATCACATTCCAAGGCCAGCGACATGTTTCGTATTGGGCAAAATTCTTGTTTTATTTTAAATTATATTAACAGCTACGCCATCTATTAGTTCGCGTGAAGCACCGCAGGTGGCAGAGACAAATATATATATATATATATATATATATGGCGAATGTGTTTTTTGTTATGTTTACAGTCCACATTTTATTTTGGTATTGGGTGTAGTTTTTTTACAAAATTTTAAATGGCATTTTATGATAAAAAAATATGTTTTTTTAACTTACCCAAAGAATGTCCAACACATGTAAGTTTGTTAGTTTCTAATCCGGCATTTCTAAGTGATGCAAGAAGTTCTCCAGTACATCGAGAAACTGTACGTAAGTTGTTAACTGCTGCTCTATAACAGGGTGGTTGGCATAATTCTCCCCAATCTGCCATCCAAACATTATAACTACCATTATCTATATAGGCTATAAATTAAATTATGTATATTTAGTTTTAGATTTTCATACATAATTGCTAAACAAAAAGTTAAATTTTTTAGATCTTCGTTTCTGAAACTAAATTTTTATTTGAAAGAATCAACCGTATACAATAATAAGTATTTTTTCTACTGGTTGGCTTTAAAAACGACACTCTACGTAAAAAAGTGACATATCACAAGCCTTGTGACACAAGGGGTTACAAAGGAATGGTAGATTTGGATCTAGCTATAGCAATTGTATATTTATTGGTTAATAACCATACAAGATTACACTGATCAATAGGCCTAGGCAAACTTTTATTTGGGCATACTGAATCCAAAAATGACCATTATTTTGCCTAATCAGCTAATGAAAAAGCCGTTTTGTTGATATACAAAACTTCAAATTTGAATATAATTTTTTAAATTAAATTTAATCAATTTAATAGCCAAATTAACAAAAAAAAAATACTCATTTATAAAGTAAGGAAATGTAATCGATATTTTAGCAAAAATTCGATAATTAAATACAAGTGCTATTACACCAACAATTTTTGGGCCAAAATGCATTTCAATGCCTAATTTGAGCAGTGATTAATTTTTTTGTAATTAAAATACAAATTAATATTTTTTTTTATTTATTGTCGATACAGAGTGGTTAAAGTTTAATCTATAATATACTTACGATGTTTTTAATTATATCACCATATTTATGTAAATTTATACATGAAGCGGTCGAAAAATGTAACAACTGCGTTACCAGTCTTACTTAAAAACTTGAAGTTTTTTAAAATAAAAACATACAAAAAACAAATATAAATACAAACAAGCGATAAAAGCTTATGACAAGCCTGTATTAATTATATTTACATATATATATATATATATATATATATATATATATATATATTAGGGTGAGCCAAAAAAACTGACCTATCGGATTTATGGGTTAAAATGAACCTACATACCGAGCAAAAAATTTTCCTGCAAGGCAAAATTTTTTGCTCAATTTTAAAAGCTGTCGGTGAGCATTCTAAGTTTTCCATTGAAATAACACGTAAAAAAATCTTTTTTCATTAAAAAGACTATAACTTTTGAACCGTTTGAGATAAAATTTTTTACGTCGCAGATTCTTGTAGAGCATAAAATTTCCCAAAGAATCTATACCAGGATTATTTTTTTTAATTCAAAAATTCGTATGTTTGAAAGCTTTGAAAAGTGTAAAAAATCACTAAAACTGCAACTTTTAAAATTGAGCAAAAAATTTCTGCTAGTTGTACCAGAAAATTTGATGTTAATCAAACTTTGACCTCGAATGACTCTAGAAGAAATTAATTTATCGAAAAATAATAAGAGACCTTTTTTGTAGAGCGTTAAATTTTATATAAGAAACTGCAATGATCATTGCCATAAGTTACTTTGATACAGAGGTATAAAATTCCAAACATAAATTAATTTTTTCCCCTGTTATTTCAATGGGAAACTAAAATAAAAACAGCGACCTCTTAGAGTTGAGCTGGAACGCCCATATTTGGTGAGGATTTTTTTTATATTAAATAAAAACATTTGAGAGGGTAAGAGCGAAAAAAAATTTTTTTTGAAGCACCCTAATATATATATATATATATGAGCATCCACCCCATGTTTTTCAAATAAATACTATATTACCGAGTGAATATTTTTAATCTTTTAATAGTAGATGTCGTTGGGGTTCATTTGACTTCAAATTTTGACTTTTTAAACTAAAAACTCCAAAAAATACAGCAAATCTTTTATATTGCCACTACCTAGCGTCCGGCTTGTATATTTTGCTTTTATTTTGTCGATTGACTTTAAAATTTACTTGATGATGCGTCTCTACTGGCTCAAAATTGTGTGCCACTTAAAAATTGATGGTCTCTTTTTTCATGGGTTTCCAATCGGTTTAGGGGTAAAAACAACCTTCCTAAAATAGCAAAAAATCGATTTTTACAATACTTTTTGTGGATGTTTTTTTCAAAAATTGATAACTCCTGAACGGTTCATCAAAACTTAACATTTTTTTTATATATATGCGTCCGGCTCCAACAGAGCGTCCGTATACGGACGCTCGGTTGTTTAGATATAGAAACGGCCTATGGGATACCGTAACTGTTCAAAGAACCACAATTTGTCTGGACGCTCAGATAATAGTAACACCGTTTTTTTGTATACATTTTGTATATTATTAGTTGAACGCGTTTACCGCTAGAGGCGGGAGTCGCGCAATACGTATATTCTTTAGGGTATATTTTCTTTTCAAATCGTCGATTTCTGGGCGTCCTTTCCGTTCGCGACCGCTTGGCAACGCTGTATTCACAATGATTCACAGGAATTCTTTATTCATAACGATTCGGCGCAGTAAGATTTACTTTTTAATTTATTTTAAATGTTGAAAAGTGTTGGGTTGGGTGTTGGGTTTGGTTGGTTTGTTTTAATTTTATTACTTTATTTATCATATATTTTGTAATTTTTCCTTTAAGAATTTTTTGCTTTAAGAAATTTTTGTATCGAAGACATTTTTGCGTGAAAAATTTTGGCTTCGTGAATTTCTTAAATTGAGAAATTTTTGCCATGAGAATTTATTCCTTTGAAAAGATTTTTTCCTTTAAGAAATTTTTTCTGAGAAATTATTTTTGAGAAATTATTTTTGAGAAAATAAGACTGGGAGCCATATTACACCCCATATATTTATATATATGGTGTTTTATTGAATAAATATAAAAATTTTATTTTATGAATCATACAGTTTTATTTTTTTTAAGTAATCACACATTGTAGATATTACTTGATATGAAATTAGTCATTTTATATCATTTTTGATAGGCCATGAAATGTAAAGTTAAAATAAAATAAGGGAAAACGCGTCAAACTTGTCACATAATATTTAAAGTAAGTGACGTGTTTCGTATATACTGTAGGCCCGTCAGGGTTTACAGTGGTTTAGTAATAACTAATAATAAAAATAATTTTAAATCACAATTTTATGCTGTACAGGGTGGTCCCCTATAATATCGACCTTTTTTAATTTTTTTATTTTAAGTGTCTCAAAAATTTTAAAAGTGGTTATGTAGGTACTGAAAAGTACTTTTTTCTACGTATACAAAAAATTGGAAAATTGATCAGTATAGAGGGAAAAACAAAAAGTATATATTTTTTCAATGGATCACCCTATACATAAATTTATTTTCCGATTCCTTGTAAAATTCTAACTACCTATATTTTTTTTAATATACCATATACCTAAATTCAACCATTTCTAAAATATTTTAATTATTTTTAAGATAATAAGTTAAAATATTTTGTCTTTTTCTGTCTCAGTACGGCATTTTTACTCACTTAACTATTAATATTGATATACTGTCAACATAGTTATTTATTTTAATAAACATTTTGTTATCCTGAAGCTTCTTAATTTGTAACAGTTTAAAAAAATATTTGATGATAACGTTTTAAATGCAAATATTTCAGAAACGGTTGAATTTAGGTATATGGTATGTTATATGAACTATGCTTGGAATTTCTTTCTAAAATTTCTAAATATTTTTTTGTTATAGGAGGTATTACGAATTACATTTTGGAGCAATTAAATTTAAATATAGGTACTATATTAAAATAAATTATTCAAAAATAAGTCATATTTGACTAATTTTCATAGCGAAAGTCACTAATAATTAATCAAATTCTACTGAATGAAATAGACAAATTAGTAGATTACAATTTAAAGAAGTTCTAACCCAGCCGGGGTTTGAACTCGGGTTTGTCGCTGTCTAAAATATTGTGCATATTTTAAAGTTTAATATATTTTTTTTGTTGCTGTTTTGAGCTAAACTTTTTATATCTTTGTTTATTTTTAATCATTTAACCATGGAGCCTATATGAATTTAATTCAAACAATAATTTGTTGTTGGCCGCAAACGATTAAAGAAATTCGTTACTTTTAACTCTCAGAAATAGTCAAAGATAGTGACTTATCTTAAATTAGTCAAACTTTAACTATTTAAGTACTTAAAAATGACTATTTAAAAGAGAAAACGACTATTTTATTAGTTAAAAATACTGAAAAGTAAAATGGACAAAAATTGTTTTTACTCTAATCAAACAATTTTATTTAACTTTAACAAAATAACACAAATAAAACACAATAGGTAGCAGTTTTACTAAAGTAGTAGTTTTCATAACAAAAACAGGATAATAATACAAATAGAACAAAATAGGCAAAACATATTCTAAAAACCTACATACACTTCGCGACAAAATTATTGCTTAAGTATATCTAGTAGTAAAATACAACGTTAACTCGGTTTTAGAGAAAAACATGTACTCTCTTAAAATTAAATAGTCAAAATTCTACTATTTGAATTAGTACCAGCATTTTTAACAACATCATGAGCTGGCCAAATAGCTTTTAAATTAGCTAAAGGCCAAAAATTTTGAAGAAGAAGAAGCATTTTTAACTAATAAAATAGTCGTTTTCACTTTTAAATAGTTATTTTTAACTACTTAAATAGTTAAAGTTTGAATAATTTAAGATAAGTCACCATCTTTGACTATTTCTGAGAGTTAAAAGTAACTAATTTCTTTAATTGTTTGCGGCCAAAAACAAATTATTGTTTGAGTTAAATGCATATAGGCTTTTTAGGTTTTTAAGGGTCATTTAACCATGGAGTTAAATAAATAACCCTTAAAAACAAACAAAGATATAAAAAGTTTAGCTCAAAACAGCAACACAAAAAATATATTAAACTTTAAAATATGCACAATATTTTAGACAGATATAACTATTTTTATAAAAGTGACTGATGGCTCATTGGTTATGAAATCCGCTTGAAAAGCGACCCGAGTTCAAACCCCGGCTGGGTTAGAACTTTTTTAAATTTTAATCTACCAATTTGTCTATTTCATTCAGTAGAATTTGATTAATTATTAGTGACTGCTTTTTTGCTATGACAATTAGTTAAATATGACTTATAATTAGTTATTTTTGAC